ATTTTGTTGTAATTATAATAATTTTAATAATTATATTTGTAATTCAAAAAGATTATTAAAGAAAAAGACACTATTGGAACCACTTTAGAGGATATTGCAAATGAGTTTAAAGAATTGGATGGAATAATTAAACTTGATGCGAGTGAAAAAGAAATGTGAGATACGATTAATAAAGCCATTGCTAGTCCGGATGATTACAAAGACAAACCAACTTCTGATTTAACTCCGGAAAAATTATCTCAATTACTTGGTTTCACGGTAGATCAAACTGTCACAGACAGTTGAAAAACGGTTGATGGTGCTACTCTTACGGTGTCCAAAATTGAAACGAAAATCACTAATGATTATGCCCCCGGCAAGTCTAAACATGCTAACCTTGTGGCTCATTTGGCTGAAAAAGGTGATGATGAGGGTAAGAAGGATGGATATGAGACTGGTGATGATACCAAAAATAAAACCAGTTGAGAAAAATTGGCTAAGAAAGGTCCAAAGATATTAATCAGAACGATTGTGGCTCACGAAGCTGACAAGGATTTAGAAAAACCTATTAACAAAGATAATCCAATAGTGAAAGAGATGATGGAAACAAATAAAAGTGTAACTGGTTATGATGAGGATCACACTAAGTGTAAGTTTAACAAGGCTCGGTATGGTAATCCCGAAGAGGATAATGGGGTAAGCAAGGAGCAACTTATTAATTACCTTTTTGATAAGAAATTAGAAAATATTACTCAACAAGACAAAACTTGAGAGGAAACATCAAACGGCGGTCCTTCTACTCCTACTACTGAAGAAACCGGAATTTTGGCTCACCTCAAGGCAAATTGATATTGATATTTGGGTGCGTTCGTTTTAATAGTTGTTCTAGCCGTAGTAATTTTCTGAAAGAACATTGCTGAATGATGAAATGGTCCGGCGGAAGAGCAAGGCAAAGGTGAAATGGGGGAAGATGAAAAAGAAGAGGAGGAAGATAAATAATTAACTCATAAAGATTAAGAAATTAAACA